TTTTTTTAACTTTTCGAACCTCGTTTTGCGAGGTAACGGCGACCACCAGATGCTAGCAGATCCCGCTCCATAAGTTTAAAGTGTCAATTCTAACGATTTTTCGTGTTTATAGTAATACAGAAAAAATATTAAAATTTAAGATTTAATAGATTAAATTATGATGTTTTCATAAAAGAATGTGAGGGGAAAAAAAAAATTTAATCGTTAAATGTAGTGTAAATTCGGCATATCTTACTTATTTGTCATTCTGCAACGTTTAGGTCAATGGAAAACACTCAAACTTTAACAAGTTTTTACGTTAAAAAAATAACTGAAAAAAAATCAAATAAAGTTGTTTCAACCATGAAATAAATCACAATGGTAATTCAACTCATTTTTTATTTTGCTACATTGTCATTTATCCTTAAATTGTTATTGATAACTCTCATAAACATGTGTTACCAGTATCTCAATTGTTTTTACGTTAGGAAAAATGATGGTTTAAACCATTTTTTTCCCCTTTGTCAAAAACTCGGGGATATGTAGGACAGTTTCATGAGGTTTATCAGTAGCATCGTGAGGAAAACAGATTGAATAATATAAAATATAAATTATTTTAAATTATTGTCGAAATTGATTTCGTAGCAAGTTTTATATATATTTTTATTTTATTTTTTCGAAAACATTGCAACGAAATCCACAAGTTCTTTAATTTTTAGTTTTTTTTTTTTTTTATGAGCGAAAAAAATCAATGAAAGTTTGAGTACGTTTTTTCTTTGTCCATATATGGTAGAGCGACAAAAATAGAAATGCGTCGAATTGACACCGTGATTATTTAACAATCATTCCCCCCCCCCAAATATTTTTCCTAAAGAGGTCATGGCTTAATCTATGGATTCTTAGATTTTCAAAACTTTTAGCTAATTCTTACGAGCATGAAAACTTGTAAAAGTTGCTACTATAAAATTGTAGGACTGAACCTGTCGGTGATGAACGCTCGTTGCTCCTCTGTAAAATCAAACCCTAACTTTGAGGGTCGTCGGGTTTTGGGTATTGATGGGAGTGGTGGTTTAAATTATTACAAAAAATAAATTTTTAACAATTATATTTTAAAATTAATAAAAATGACCTTAATGATTATAGAATACTATCTTACATTTAACATCATTTTTTCCAACTGTAAAAAAATGGTTTTTCATACCTTTTAAATCGTGTTAAGTGGGGGGGTGACGACTTGCATACAGTGGTGGATTCAGTTCTGCACTTTTTTTACTGTTTTTTTTTCCAAGTGAAAAAAATTGACGCTTATGTCACTCATAATAATGCAAAGAAAACTTGAAAATTTGAGATCCTATGAATTAGGTCGTGACATTTAAAAATTAGATCATGATCTTGAGTGATTCCAAGTGAGCTGGTGGGTCCGCTGTGCCGACAAGTGGGTTGAACCCAGTGCGTGAAACCACCTACCGGATGTCCTCCTTGGGTCATATGCTCGACACCTTGCAACACTTTTGAATATTTATAATAACGTTTCACCAATAAGAAAATTAATAAAAGCATAATGAAAACGACAATATTTTTTCTCTACTTAAAAAAAAGACAAAACCTACATTTTTAATTGATGACCAATTTAAATTTCGAGTGTTTTACACTTTGTCTGGCTAGATACCTTCCGTTAAGAATAAAAAAGCAATGAGGAACTGTTGTTAAGCATTAATCTATAAGAAAAAAAAAATTCAGCAACAAGAATATCATGTCAGCAAAAAGAAGTGATGTAGCAGTCGTACTTTTAAATGTTAAAAGAATGTAAGACCTTTGTGATGGCGTATCTTAAACATAGGGTTTAATCTCAATTTCTTCCACTGGGTCGGATTAAGTATTTATCCCTTACTGCAATCGTTATGGTTAATGGGTAACTCCTTTAGGAGTCTCTATGAAGACTTCCTAAAGTTGTGACTGTTAAGAAGCCATAATTTTTAAAAACGTACGGGCCACTACAGGAGTGCTCAAATTCATCCGACTATAAATGTTTATACTTTATTTTTTTTTCCGCGGCCAATAGTTGGGCCAAGTACTGGTGGTTTAACTAAATCCTTTCATGGGGGATGCCTCCTTGCTCCGCCTCTAATAATCAATCAGAAGACTAATGTCTTCAAATTAGTTTTTTAATGGAAAGTTGGAGTGTTGCTTCATTATTTATCATTGCATGCCACACCACTACATTTGTATGCGGATCCATGAAAAACAGCATGCTGCTAACCTCTACTTCGGTAAGCACTTGATACCCATCCGACGCCTCGCGACTTGGTTTTGAAGGGCCAACATTTGTTATCCCGTGAGGCAATTTGAACACAAACGAGAATGAGAAACAAGAACTTTCCTCCCCTCTTTGCACCACCTGTGTGGAGAGGCCCAAAGGCGTAACGAGGCCAGATCAGTGAGGCCTGGCCCTCTTAGCAGGCCCCTTTTAGGAGCCAGGTTGGGGTGTGGCTGCACAAACCGGAAGTGGACGTTCGTTCAAGGGGTGCTCACTGCACCGTTTAGTACCTTTCCGGGCCCTTTTAGGAGCCTTTTGGGGGGGTTCACGTCCTGTGGAAGTGCTTAGGGCTGTGCTGAGGGTTACGCTTCTTGAGGGGGGGGAGATGTGCGGAGGGTTAGGGTCCCCGGGGGGCCTGTGCGGAGGGTTGGGTGCCCTCGGGGGCTGCGCGGGGGTTCACGGTCCCTACCGGTAGCGCGGCGGGGGGTTGCCTGATAATGGAATTGCTCTCGAAGGATGTACAGTACACCTCATCGTATCCCGATACACTTATCTGGTTTAGGGTGCTCAGTACATGTGGCAGGTACATCCACTGGCCACGTGGATCATGAAAGGGCTTTCCTCTTCTCCGTGGTCATTGCTTAAACGGGTGCTGTAAGAAGAGAGAGTTCGTTGACTGACAATCGCTGATATTCGCTGACCTCTGCCACCTCAGTTATCCGTCCACCGACCAATCAATCAACCTATCAACCGATCAACTAATTAGTGCACTTATCAATCATTCTACACCAATCAAGAAATGCATCAATCAATCGATTGGACGATTGATCACAAGTTAACCAATCAGGAGTTTCACCGAATCGTCTGATCAACAAGGGATAAAAGGAGGAGAAATGGGAGAGGAGAAGGAGGCGGAGAAGTCCGTATAGTCTTTGTTTTTTTTTTTTTTTTTTTGCGGCGGATGCTTGGTGGTTTATCTGCTTGCGCAGGGTTGTGAGGAGGATATGATTGGCTTCTATTCTCCATCGATCAGGATCCGATTCGATTAGGATAAGAATAATAGCAGAATAAGGAACCGGATCAGGATCAGTATCTGATCAGGATCAGTATCGGCTCAGGATAAGATTCGAATCAGGATAAGATTCGGATAAGGATGAGAATGAATCAGGATAAGAATCGGACCAGGATAAGAATCGGATCAAGATAAGAATCGGATCAGGATAAGAATCGAATCATGATGAGATTGGATCAGGATAAGAATCGGATCAGGATAAGATTGGATGAGGAGAAGAATCTGGTCAGGATAATTGCTAGTGCTGTTCTCGATGCGGAGGATAGGTACAAGAATTGCCGTTGTCAATGGATCGGGAGAAGAATTGGATTGGATCAGATAAAAATTTGAGAAGGATAAGAATTGGATAAGGATAAGAATATATACATGTACATATATATATCGTCACAAACAGAACTGCCCGGTAAAACCGTAGGCAGAGAGAGAGAAGAGGACAACAAACGAGGGGCTGTGACATATGTATATTTTAAAGGATAAGAATATTGTTGGATAAGAGATAAGAAGAATTGGATAAGGATAATTATAATTTTGTTATTGCTGTTCAGGATGGAAAAGGGTAAGAGTAGCTGTTGCGTATGGATATGGATAAGATTTGGTTTTCTGGATGCATAAGGATGAGATTTGGAGTTCTGGATGGATGAGGACAAGGGGGATGAGCAGATTCATCGATCAGGGAGAGTAGCGAAGGGTCTTGCGGTAAGGAGAACGAGGAGATAAGCGCCAGGAGGGATGTATCTGTGGCAGGTTCTCGATGCCGCACTCTTATGCAATGCCCAAGTTTTGTGTGGGGGTCGGGATTGTACGTGTCCAGACCATTATGTCGGGACTGTTATGTCGAGATCGGGGAGAGCAGGAGGGCATCATACGCACAGTACGACTTTCGCGGGTGTGAATGAATCTGGCACCAAGGGAGATCAGATGCACCTCCGAAAGCTATAGTGCGAGCACGCCCTCAGAGAGAGCATGAGAGTAAGTGGAGAATGGAGAGAAGGTAGGAGGGGAGGGTAGTGCAGGGTAGAGGACGAGGGGCATGCAGAGGGAGGACGAAGGGTGTTGACAGATGGCATTTGCGAAAGACCCAGGAGTGAGGTAATGCAGTCACTAGGTGTGTGTGGGGGAAGAAGCAGGAGGAGGGGCCGCAGGTGAGAGAGAGAGAGAGAGAGAGAGAGAGAGAGAGAGAGAGAGAGAGAGAGAGAGAGAGAGAGAGAGAGAGAGGTTGTCAAAGTGGAGAAGGGGGAGGACGAAGGGAGAGGGAGGGAGGGGAGGAGGAGGCGGAGGAGGAGGAGGTGGAGGTGGTTAAAGGAGAGAAACGTTAGGAGTTAAGGCCACGTGCGGGGAGGAGACGGCGCCGCTGCGGAAAATTGGAGGAGGAGGAAGAAGAAGTGAGAAAGGGCAGCGGAGAGAGAGGGAATGCGGAGGGAGGAGGATCGTCAGGAGATCTGTCTAAGCTATGGTCGAAGGACAGTAATGAAAAAGAGCAGGCCTTGGCAATCTTGCGGCTTGGCGCGTTTTATTTGAACCCTCTAATCAATTTTGTCTACAGAGTACAGTTAAAATTTTCACCCAGGTTTACCCCCCCCTCCTCCCTTACTCCCCCCTCCCCCCCAAAAAAGAATTCCCATCCATCCAGCGACTTCGCGCGCCATCGTTACTTGAGACGCTTCAATTACCTAATTAGTATTTTTGCGCGCGACGCAGCAAGACAAGGAGGAGCGTGTTGCAGAGTCCCAGAGAAGAAAAGGGAGGAGAGAGAAGGGGGGGGGGGGAAGAGGAAGGGAAGAGGAATGTAGGAGAGAGAAGAGAGGGAGCGGGTAGGGGAGAAGAAGATGAAAGGCGGGGGGGAATCTGTTGGCGGGAGCAGCAGCGTCGGGATCGGGTCGCCCACATCTTCGGTTGAGATGATGATGGAAAGCACTGCTGGCGCGGATCAGCCTTTTGCTGACGTGGAGCAGGCGGTTGCTGACGTGTACTCGCGGGAAAATTTCGCGCGCTTTTTGGAAGATGGACTACGACCTGATGGACGGCCATTGGGCCGAGCGCGCCGCACGAGCATCGGCCTTGGTAGGTACGGCCGTGAAGATTGTACGGACGCGTTTTTACTATTATTTTATTATTATTTTATATTTTATAATAATTATATATTATATATTATTATTATTGTTATTATGTTATATTTTAGAATAATTATATATTATTATTAATTTATTATAATTATTATTATGTTATATTTTAGAATAATTATATATTATTATTATTTTATTTATTATTATTATTTTTATCATAAATTTGGACCATTTCTCGATATATGCGTGCATCCTTGGGCAGGGCCCATGTTAATCTTTTGTGTATAGTTCCAATTTTAACGGATGTCCCGATGGACCGGACGCGTTTTCTGAGTCTAGTGCATGCGGGGAAGTGTAGTGCTTGTTCGTTTGAAACATGTACGAACAGCAGTGTTTGGCCCCTGTTCACTCAATCTTCTTCTTCTTTTTTTTTTATATGTAGATATATTTATATATTTATGTATGTATTTTTTTTTTCTTCTTTTATTTGCTCCCGCCGTAATTTGCCAGTAATTTTTTTTTTTTTTCGGGTTCTTTTCCGTGGAAGATGCGTTCTCATTTCGCATATTTGGCGAGTAGTGGATCGAGGTCCTATGATTCTTTCGGTATTACAATGGCCCTTGCTCCACTGCGCGCCAAATGTTCAGAATGAGAGTGAATCTTCCGCTAGAACATGGAAAGATACACCGCCATATTTGTTTTTTGTCTTTCGTGCATGTGGTGAGTAGTGGAGCGAGGCCCGATTTTTTGACGTGCGTGTGCAGAGCAATTGGCCATTGCTTGTCTTTCATCTTCATCTTTATTCCCACAATAATTTGGCAGTAAATTTTTTATCTATTTTTTTTGCCCAGCGGTTTTTTTTTTTTTTGCTAGTAAATGTGAAGGAAAAAAAAACAGTTTTTTTGCTTTTTTCATTTCCCCTTTTCGTTGGATAAATACAGGAAGTACGATGATGACTAACGTCATCTTTCCCCGAACACAACGCACCCTCATCATCATCACTCTACATGTCCGTATCCTTTTTTTTTTTTTTTTTTTTTTAACCTATTAAGGCCGATAGATAGTCAGAGAGCGGGAACTCCCGTCTTGCCCCGAACACAACGCACCCTCATCATCAATGTATACAAGCTTCAGAGAGCGGGAACTACCGTCTTTTGCCCCGAACACAACGCACCCTCATCATCAATGTATACAAGCTATCTTTCCGACCCGATACACCGCCATCGCCAATGTATACAAGCTGAACACAACGCACCCTCATCATCAATGTATACAAGCTATCTTTCCGACCCGATACACCGCCATCGACAATGTATACAAGCTATCTTTTGGTCGGAAAGATAGCTTGTATACACCGCCATCGACAATGTATACAAGCAATCTTTTGGTCGGAAAGATAGCTTGTATACATTGATGATGAGGGTGCGTTGTGTTCGGGGCAAAAGACGGTAGTTCCCGCTCTCTGACTATCTATCGGCCTTGGTAGGTTAAAAAATAAAACTGAAAATAAAGTGTACGGACATGTGGATGTACGGATACGTCTTCCCCCCCGAACTTAACCCACCCTCATCATGACTGTATCGGGCCGGAAACACAGCTTGATTACATTAAGTCGTGCCGCGTGGTAGGAACGGACGTGAAGATGTACGGATATATTGCGCCCCCCCCCCCGGAATCGATATGCGAAGAAGGGAAAAAAAGGAAAAAAAAGGGGGGAAAAAAAAAAAAGGAAAAAAAAAAGAGAAGGGCAGTGGCCAAGAACTTGCTTTGGAACACGAATGATCAGATGTACGTTTTTTTTTTTTCTTCCCAGAATTAATGTGCGAAGAAGAAAGAAAGAAAAAAAAAGAAAGAAATAAGTAAGAAAAGAAAGAAAGAAAGAAAGAAAGAAAGAAAGAAAGAGAGAAAAAAAAAAAACGAAAAAAAGAAAAAGAAAGAAAGAAAAGCTATGGCCAAGAACTCAGGACGCGCACTTTTTTTCTTTTTTTTCTTTTTCTTTTTTGGACGCGCACATTCCTTCATCTCCCTTCTTTCTTTTTTCGTTTCTTTTATCTCCCTCCCCCCCCGCTTTTCCCGTCCCCCCCTCTCCCCTCCTCCTCCTCCTCCTCCCCCCCCCCGCGGCAATTCTGAATTACCCTACTGGTAGGCCCGGGGGCAACTCCCACTAGGTAGCAGCGTTGAGCTACCTCAACGCCTGAATCTGGACGCTTTTGCGGAGATGTGCAGAAATCGTGTTTAGTTTGCTGAACTGCACGTCTCCACAAACACGTCCAGATTCAGGCGTTGAGGTAGCTCAACGCTGCTACCTAGTGGGCCTTGGCCCCCGCTCAGCTCGATGATCATATCTCAAGGCCGTCGCCCTTTTTTTTAATTATATTATCTTTTAAAAAAAGGGAAATTGTACTTATTGGGACGCTGGGCCTTTACTACCCTGGGGCTAAGTCCCACTACCTCCAGGGTAGTACATTATTGCCCTTGCTAGCGGGGGTTTAGACTGGGTGCCAAGTCCGCAGCAATGCCTGCCATCCTATCCGAACATCATCTCATGGCCACACTGTGGGGCCACATTTGAAGGGGGCTGTGTTTTTGTTGAAAAAAAAAACAAAACAAAAAAAAACCTGGAAAGGGCAAGACTAAACCCCCGTTAGTGGGGCTTAGGCCCTTTGGTATACCCGAGGTTGAGGTTGAGGGGTTTAATAGTGTGCTTCGATGCAAGGATCTGCAGCGTGTTAGTCCATAGCAACATATGCATGGACAAGAACGAACACCCTCCAGGGTAGTGCCATGGCTGCTCACCCCTACGGGACATGGCAAGCGTTCTAGCTCCCCACCCTGATTTGTCAGGAAACCAAGCTAGTGAGATAAGACCCTAAACCACTCTAGAAATTAAGGTTTTGGCTGGGAGGTTCGCCCCAACTTCTACCGTTTTTCTTTTCTTTTTGGGAGAGCCACAACTTTCCAGGCGCAGGGGCCAGGTTACAGTAGCCTACAGCTGGGTAAGGGCCCGAGCATGGTGTTGTTCCGGGTTGTTTTGTGGGGTGATTCCCGGGCCCCTGTGCTTGCGTGCAATATAATGAGGAGACTGTTTTCCCCCCCCCAAAAAAAAAAAAAAAAA